CTTGCCGTTTTGGACCTCTTGCCAGGCCATTCCGACCAGGACGGACTTTTATGAGGTCTTGTTTTTTAGATCCACATCGGATTTTTGTGATCATTGTACTTTTTGTTTTTTGTTTTGATGTTTTTCTGTAATTTTTCGACACTGATGTAGACCATTGACTTTTTAGCCCTCTCTAGGTTATTAATATAATATTTATTTCTTAAAAAAAAAAAAAGAAAAAAACAACAAGGTCCAATCCCAAACATAAAGTGCGATGGCACGAATGTAAATAATGGCTAAAGCGGGTGGGTTTTCACAATAAGGTACGAAATTTGACCGTTGCTCACTCAACTCTTTATTTACAAAAACAAAGAAAGAAACCCCCAAATTAAGAGCCCTTATTTTCCATAGCCGTTCGAAGAAATATATTGTTCTGAGTTTGGCTGAAAAATATCAGAAATAAACCGATAAAAGGCTAGAAATTCTCTGCACAATCGCAGCAACAGTAACCAGAAATTTCGAATCAGACGGTAAACCCATTTAAACTGTTAACTCTCATTTTCTTTTCTTCTCTTTTTGTTTGGATTTTCTCTTTGGTGAGGGTTTGGTATTTATTTCTTCAAGTTCTGGTTATGGTATGCAAACATCTGTGTAAAGACATGAATTTTATGCGTCTTTCTTGAGTTATTTGTTTATGGTAATTGCTCGCATTATTGTGATTCTTGAATTTTTATGCTGCCGTGTTTGGTCCAAGAATATGTACGAATATCTCTAATCATTTGAAGTTAATTGTGTATCGTGGTGTGTATATATTTGAATATTCTGTCATTAAAGTTAGAAACCCCCAAACTCGGACAGGCTCAGACGATTCGCCGACGGCGTATCGTCTGCTCTTTATAGGTATTCTCCCGTTAATATAGTGATGAAGATGCCAGTTATTGATGTTGTTCAGAATGCAAAGAAGTTCTTTTTTTTTTTTCTTCTTCTTCCTGATCTGTTTTGCTCTATTTCTTCTGGGGATAAACGGCCTATCATTGCAATGTTTACACCACTTTTCTTTTCATTTTCATTTAGGGCATATTTAACATTTTAAAAGAACTGTGTTTTAAATGCTTCAACCAAATGTAAATGCTTGAATTTGCACACATTTGATTATATTCATGGTCTATTTTCTCAGAAAATCATAGTTTTAGCAATAATAGTTAAATGTTAACTATAAGATTATTATACAAAACCATGTGTTGGCTGTAAAATTTCCATTATTATGTCTAACCAAATAAAATCGAAATTGAATTGTGTTAGAATGAAGAACCAATAAGGGTACCAGAGTTTTTTAGTTTCAATTTCAAGCCTGGTTTGCTTTGATTCCCATTTTCATGGCAACTAGTTATATGACTGATTACAATCTCTGGTAAAGTATTGTGACTTCCCTTTTTTCCTTTTTTTTTTCCTGCTCGCTCGTAATCTTAACCTGAATTGATTTATTAAGAAGAGTGCATATTCGATTTCTGGTGCTTACATATGGAAAGAGATATTGTGTATTTAGTTTCTTCACGCTAACTAAGGAGGAAAAATTAAATTTGTAATGATTCTGGTAATGTTTATTTGCCCAAGCAATAATCTCATACATTCCTTTTTCGTAAATACTCTGCACCAGCTATTGAATTTCTGTGCATTGTATTGTGAGGATGGTTGTTTTTATGCTCTATGTTGTGTGTTACCGTGACATATCTGCATAGCTTCTTTGATTATTGCACTGTGTAGGTTTATAAACTAAGCCGCCTTATATAGTTATCAATCGTTTCAGTTATGGATGAATTATGAAATTTCGACACTATTCCTAGTGAATTACAATTGTTGTGCTTTGCGTAACTGAATAATATTCGTCAGAATAGTAAACCACTAATGCTGGCCTTCTTTCTGGAACATTCTTGTCATTGATTTTTTCCCCAGTGTTTAATTGCTAGTTCAAATTTGGAATATGGCAACCCCAGCTCATCGCTTGATCCAAGATCAGAACCTCAATATCCTCTACAATGGTAATTTTACTTTTATCGACCTGCAAATTTTATGTTGACCTTCACACAAGTTACAAGTTATATCGTTAGCTCATGAATTGACTTTTCTGAACAGGCCCCACTCCTGGGCAAAAAACCGATCTACCAAAAGCAGATAATAAGCCAAAACATCTTTCTGGAAGGAAAGCTCTCAATGACATATCAAATGCAAGAAAGCCTTATTCTCTACAGTCCGTGAAGAAAGACAATCCGACAAATGTCATCTCAATCGAGAAAGACCCTGTTGACGTTAGAGCAAAAATCTCAAAGGCAGCTGCAAAAGGAAAAGCTAGCAGTAGAAAAGCACTTACGGACGTCACAAATTCTGTAAAACCACCTGCTGCCAAACAGGGCCTAAGCACGGTCAGGAAGTCGGATGTTTCTGTTGGACAAGGTAATGTTTTGAGTTGTGTAGCGGAGGAAAGGTTTATACACAATCATGGAGAGTGCATAAAAGCTCAGACGAATGCTGTGGATATGGGCTATTTCCTGAAGTCGGTTGGATTGAGTAATGGTACTAAGACTAGTATTTTTCGTAGATGATATTTCTTATTATTCTATTATCAGTATGGTTGGGTGACAGTAATTTGTTTGTGCGGTTTTGGCATCAGATATTCCTATGAAGCTATCGGCTAAACAGGCAATCCCATTATCCTTAAAGAAGGTACATCTGCTTTTTGTTCTTTTCTAAATTGATTAATGAGTAAAATGTGAGGGTGAACATGCAACTTGGTTTCTGAAAAAAAAAAAAA